TCTGAGATATCTGGGTAAAAACAAAAGGACTAGTGTAAAGCAAAGGAGCAAGAGTAGAGTGTGGCTGTATACACTAGCAAAATAAAACTACTCAAAAGAAAGTAGTGGGAATGAGATTCGTGTATAAAATTTGACCACACCTTCAAAGATTAAAAATGGGATGGGTTCTGCTAGATACTGGGGATTTAATTTTTTATACTCGGGGATAGGTAAAATGTGCCCTCATGTTCCTCAGTAAGTGTACTTGTGAGGGAGCTCTACAAGGGTAGTAGACAAAGGAAGATGAGAGCTGCATGCTCGTGTGTTATGCTAGCTCTAGTTATACAACCAGGTCTTGAGGGTGGAGGTCACTGTAAACAGGAGGGAAGATAAGAGAAATAGAGGGGTGAGAAGGTCATGGCAAGTTTGAAAGAGAAAGTAGATGGACAGACAAGACTGATGCTAGCTCTGGCTATTGAAAACAAAACCTTAAATAGCTCACATTTGTTATTTGTATTCAAGAACATTTATCCATGCCAGGACTCAGCATCCCTCTTTCTGTGTCAAATTAAGCAGCAGTAAACATTCTCTACGCACTGTGAGCTGCTGATACAACAGGTCTTTTCTGAGCTCCAAGACTGTCTCATTCCAAAAGGTGTGTTCACCGTAGGAAACTCCATACTAGAAGGATAATTTTAGGAGATAGAATCAGTGCATGATAAATCCCCAAAGGAGCTCACTCTCAAAATAGTCTTAGCAGGGAAGCATGCTCTGTAAATCATTACCAAAAGTTAGGCTGAAAGCATTAAAACACTTTGCATAATATGCACATAGTTTCTGCCTTGATCTTCCAAGCCACTGTTGTTTATTTTCCTAAGCTTGCTGTGGTCAAAGCTGGTTCTCTGGTCTTGCTCTTCATGTGACAGATGAAGATGCAAACTGGTCAGAAATAGGACGATCACAAGACTAATTTGCTGGAGCTCTCTGAATCATAGAGTTAAAAGGGGACCATGAAGTACTTTATAGGCTGCCTACACACTGCTCAGCAAGTCAGAGGTTAATAAAGGACCTTATTCTTTGGAAAGATAATTGAGGCTGAAAGCAAGTCAACCATCCCACAACTAAGCCAGGGAGATCATCAGTTCTTGTGAACAATAGCTGATGATGTCCAGGATTCAGTGAGTTAAGTGGTTAATCCTATACAGAAAGCTGCATCCATAATGGAGTTTAAATGGGAGGAATCCACCCAATTCGACCCCTAGAGAGTTGCTTCCTGCTGTTATGCTGATGGGTATGTCTATAAATATCAGGGTAGCCATCAGCAGATAAAATCTCGCAAAGCCTCTCCCTATTAAGTGATACATTGATCTCCATGAAACAGCAGTAGCCTGGATTAATGAGCCGTGGAAACCAATCCCCCTGCTCTCACACTGAGACTGTAGCCAAAGAGAAGGAAGAGACATATATTGTTTCCTTCTTGATTGGGTGGAAAAAAGTCAAAACCCTTTTGTCCTCTTTCTTCCTTCTGCCCATTCTTTGCCAGGAAGCTGTTTGTTACATTGTGTAGTGGGCACTCAGGAAGGGTCTCATCAGTCTTTTGTTGCAATTTGCTGTTTAGAGTCATAAAAGAAAGGCATCAGTTAGGACTGTTAGGGCAAATGGGCCTTTGTGGTTTTCTTCAGGTAAAGCAGCTCTCTCCACAGCAGCAGAGAACCCACAAGCAGGTTTGTGTACCTTCTCCAGCACTAGTGGGTGGCAGACAAAATCCAGCAACCACTTCATCCTCACCTTTTTCTGTTGCATTTGTGGTTTTAGTAAAAGAAGCACTCACAGTTCTATTTCCTTTTTTATTTAAAGTTCAAAATCTTAAGGTTTTTAAGCCTATCATGTTATAACGCAAGGCCTGACTCGTGATTTTCTACTCTCAGAGCTGCATACCAAGTAACATGCATATACAGGCAATAGTACATAGACCCCTACATTTGAATTCTCCATACTGCCCATATAATGTGCATACAGGACTCAGGACAAGTATGCCAACTCCCTGGTGCTTTAGCTAGCTCTTCTGGCATTTAGAAATGCCAACCACAAATGAGTTAAGCCATATTGAGTGGCTCTGGTTTCTCTTTTGTTTTCTGTATGTTTCTTTTCTGTGCTGTTCATTTGTTTCCCTTTGCTTTTTTCCCTCCATTTTGTTCTTTGGCTCCTTGCTCCTCAGTTGCTAACTCACTGCAAATCCCATCGTTTCTCCTAAGTGGGGACTGTGACTGGGCAAACCCCTGGACATCACTGCGGGACCTAGCTGGAAATGCCCTAGCTGTCAACCAATGCTGTTAGCAGTTTTCTTCCAGAGTTAATAAAGACCAAGAAAAGAAGGATTAGGAGAAAGCAGGGCTACACAGCTACATGAGTCTTCATGCCCATAGCTGCTTACAATGTGAGGATACAGAAGCAAAGGGGATTGAGAGGGCAGAATGGTTAGGGTGCTTTCCTTTTCTTTCCCTTCTCTGCATTGATATTTCTGCTCAGAAAGTCCTATGCTTGTCTAGCAGTGACCTAGTCAAGGAAGACACGAATATTACAGGGACCTTATTTCTAGACTTGTCCTTTGCTGCTTCAATGCCTTTGAGCATGAGACAGTCTTTTGCTTCAGAGACCCTAGAAAGAGTTAAAGCACACTGGAATACGAGAGAAGGATCATGAGGTTCACCAGCTCAGCCTGCCCTGGTTGGGCTCACAGTTGGGTCTGCCGAGTTCAGTGACTCAAAGCAATGAGCTGTCATTACCTCTGAAGAGCCAACACGCCAAGAGAAAACAATTCTGCTTCGTCTTCAGCAGTATCAACAAAATTGTTTACCAAGTTCCAAAGAGTTATATTTTTGGCATCCCTGTGGCCTGTTTTGGCCTATTGAATGTTACTCATGAGTAAGAGGGAAAGAACTTGCCTCTCAATTATAAAGCAGAATTTGTATGGCTGACAGTTAAACAAAGCAAACCCAGTATTTTGCATATTTACCTCACAGGATCTGGAAGGACAATAACTACGGAGCCCACTGATTTCAACTGGAGGGATATTATCCTGGTTTTTAAAGTCACATCTTTGGTCTCTCAAAACAACTGCAACTTGAGACATCCAAAATCAGTGCTTGTACATCTAGTTGTAAATGGCCTGCTCAGTCATACAAGCCTGTGGAGCAGCTGGGAGACGGGTGGGATTTCTGTCACAGACAAGCCTTCTCTTTGTCCTCAGAGGCCACGTTAGCCATGACTGGTGTAGTCTGTGTTCAGCTCCTGTGGCATCAAGAGAGCCTTGGTTAGGCTTTCTAAAGGAAGGACAGAATTGCAGATATTTCCAGGACTGTGTTGGGAAAACAGTCTCCTTTTGGGAGGAGCTGCAACCATCCCTGGTTTCTGCTGTCATGCTGAGTGAGGGGAGCCTCCATCTATCCTCATCACTGTACATATTCAGGCAGTGGATAGGTGCAGCAAGGCTGGAGTCTCAGCCTGATGTTGAAATAGAAATGTTATTAAGTGGTTAACAGGGCACAAGGTCTTTGCTCCATAATTTGGGCTAGAAATAGTACTCATGGTACCCCTGGGCACTGTCTATGAAAGTGAACATGAAAAGAAATAGGAAGAGCCCAGAGGGTAACACCAGTGAAATAAATAGTAATCGAATAATCAATTCATGCCAAGGATTTATATAGTGCTTTACTTATTCAAAGCATGGTGAAAAACATTAGCTTAATTAATCATTCAGGTAATTAAATGGAAGTGGAATGAAAATGGTTAGAGGAAGTTTGGAGTATGAAGGCTTCCTGAAATCATTAAATGATTTTTGCTGTCTTTGATGGAAGGAAGAATTTCTTCCTTTAGGGTTTAAAAGTGCTTGCAGCGTGGGTGTTATTGCAGTTTTAATAACCACCTGCTTAATTCCCTGGGATGGGAGATTACAGCACAGCCAAAGGTTTCTTGTTTGTTTGAGTAACTTTGGCAGTTCTATGGGCCTAAGAAAAATGAGAAGTACGAGCAGCTCTGTTCAGGGCACAGAATGGTGATCAGCTTCAGGAAGAAATCTTGTTCCTTTGACTTCTCATTAGCAGAATGGGCTGAGAGACAGGGTATGGTTATGTCATGAGACCTATTGCTCTAATTTAAGCAGGAGGGAAAACCAAAGCTGTTCTGTGGTTTGATGGAGAGGAATCACTGAATGAGTGTGGCAAAGGACATCGAGAATGCTGCAAGTGAAAGCTAAATTTTGTATGGATTAATTCGTTCCCCTGCAGTAAGAAGACAGGATTCTCTGTCAGACAGTCAGTGTAACTTGATTCTTGGCTGTGGCATATTTAGGTTTGTGTTATCGCCCGCTGCCCACACTTAACGTATCATCAACTCATGAGAGAACTTGTGAAGAGATGTGTTTTCAGTCAGCTGGCCTCAATCACTGCTTTGCTGGTGAACCCTTTAAACTGCTGAAGAAAAACTCTTTCATGCCAATATAACCACACACCAAGTATGTAGCTCTGATTTCCTGCATTCAAAGGCTTGCCTTACTGCACTGTGTAAGGGCTTTCAGTTTACCTGCAATCTGAGAATTTAGTATCTCACACAGGTACAATACAAGCGGTTGGTGCTGCAGATAAAGCAAACAACCTCCAAGAAAGACATGATTTAATAGACTGGTAATTGCTTTGATACCTTTGCTACCCTCCTTCAAAAAGACTGCGAAAGTCTGTGTTTCCTTCTAACTTGGGATACTGTCACTGTAAGCAATGAAAGCCATCAGACATATCCTTTTTTCTTTCCCTTTCCTCTGCCTAGTTCCCCTGAGGACACAAGATCCTGGCAGCTAGATCTACCCCAGGCTTTTGCCTTTTGTTTTCCTGTACTTTTCTCTTGGCACAATTCAGAAGATTTCAGTGTTGTGCTTCCACAATCACATGCTAAAATATTTGCACAGCTGTCTGCTGACAGAAAAGGAGGGAAAGAGAAAATCTGTCATTTGAAAAGTTTAAAACAAAAAACTAAGCAGAGTTTTATGTGAGTTAATCATATAAAATCTTCAGTTTGCTCTGCTCTTGTATAACAGAATCTTCTTTCACCTTGCCTGGTTTCCCTCATGTCCTTCACCTTCCTGTTCTCATGCATATAAACCCATGCTTCCCTTCACATGCCTGTGGGTTGAAACGCCTGTGGGACTCCATTGCCCACCTGTGTGCACTCACTTCAGCCTGTTCTTGATGTACAGAAATAGGACCAACTCCTACAGACTATAATCAGGCATTCTTCAGGCAAATCTCTGACTGAAGTCAGTGGAAGTTTTGGCAGAAGAACTGCAAAGCTAATTACATTCCTCCCCCAAGAATATATATTGGATGGTGATGAGAGATGAGAAAATACTGCCTAGAAAGAAAGTCCATTAATAAATGAGAAGTAGATATAGGGGAGAACAGTTGATTGAATTATTTATAATGCAGTTATAAAAATGCTGAGTTGCTGAGCTTTCCAGAAACCCATCAATAACATGCACACCATAGCAGCAGTTAATAGGAGTCTAGAGAAGCAGGAGCAAGGATCTCCGTGAAAATCACATTGTGAAAATACTGTGAAAAAAAGCCTAGCATATCCAAATCATTTAGCACACAATATGTTTTAGTGTGGTGATAACTTTCAAATAGCTTTGAAAATCGGTTGTGAGTTAATTTTACCAGCAGTGCACCAGAGAATTTCAAGCAAAAACTGAGCAAATGTGGGCCCATCTTGTAAAAATAGAAAATCAGCACAGACACTTCCTAACAAGGGTACCTATAGATCAGGGTCAAAAAGATTAAATGCATGTTTAAAAAACCTGGATAGTGATACTAAGAGCAAAAATGAACCTCAATATTTGAAGGAGCCAATCTTTTCACATATTGTTTTGGTCAGAATTATCTAATTAGTGACTGATAATACCAGAGCAGACATATACTTCATTAGATCCTTTGGTGCAATGAATAGAAGATTCAACTTTTCAAACCCTCAGTGGCTAAAAGAAGGCAAAGTGAAAAGGCCAACAGCTCTCTTTCAGCTTTGACATCTATAATTCGCATGCCTGGACTGCACTCCCACTACAAACAGTCCGCTCCCTTCCTACACACATAAACACACTCTGCCTTCATCCTGCTCTCGGACCACACACGCATCTCTGTCCAGTTTGTGCTCTTCACATCAGCCATCTTCCTCCCTCAGACACGTGAATGCTTCCTCTGAACTAACTCCTCAACTGAAGGTGTGTTTCCACACTGGTCCACCAAGTTGGGAGGGTTTTTTTAGGTTTTCTTGCTGTCCTCAGTCGTGATCTCCAGACAAAGCCTTCCTTTCTGTGAGAAAACTTCACAATCAGGAACGTGGTCTGGACATTTATGGACAAAGGAACATTTGTATTTCTGCTCCTGTTGCCTCTTAATCATTAGAAAGAATGAGTATGCTGTGCCTTTAGCCTTTCAGCTTAGTTTATGAAATCCATATCCTCCTGTAGACATTCAGGTTTGATCTCTTTTTGTTTGTGATTGAGGCTGAAGTGTCCAGGCACAGGGATATACTCTCTCTGTACTGGCCTGCATCCAGCAGCCTGAACATCATTTCCAGCCCTTTAGCCTCTGAAACCTTCTGTTTGTGAAATTAGCCTGATGAGGCGACTGATGAGAAATTGGTGCTTATTAGCTGCTGTCACTTTTATACCCTCTTCTGTAACTAATGGTACAGCCGCCCTTGTGATCCCATTAAATAGCTCTAGCTAGAGCTCTGACTGCAGGAAAATAAAGCTGCAAATGGAAAAGGCTTCTTGGTGCTGCAGGCCAAGCTCAACCACCTCCTCTCCCCTACATTCCTCTGTTGCTTTCATACCCCCTGCTAGTCTAACATTACTCCTCACAGGGTTGTCTTCTTCAGGGAACGACTTCAGTTTGAACAGATTCATGCTACCACACCCAGAGGCACCAAATCTGCACTGAAACATGTCTGGCAGAAAGGGGGTGTGTGTCAGCAGATATATTTAATTGTATGTACCAACCAGCATTTTCCCTATGTTAACCTCAAGTGTGCAGTTCGGTTTCTGATCTTAATGCATCCTCATTTAAGATTATTTAAATTTAAATTATGTAAGATTTAAGATTTATAAGCAGCCATAAAATGCCCATTATAACATGAATTTTTATAACATGCCTTCATATGTTCCTCATACCTGTGTGGAACCAGATGCTGTTAAATCTGGGTATACTCATAACTAATTTTGAACAAGCTACTTAGCCACCATGCAAGGAGGTGGGGGGAAAGCCATTAAAGTCCAACATCTTTAATGTGAAGGCTCCAGACTTCCTGACTCTGGGCCTAGATGGGCTTATTACTTTGCAGAGATACAGACTGCCAAGTCTAGCAGCATTGTCATGGCCATTGACTGCATTTGGTGATGTGCTCCAAATCCCATGTTTTAGGAACACATATGCACAGGAGAAATGGAAGTTTTTTTCTAAACCAAAATAAATTAGAAACCTTGTAGTGTGTTGGAATAAAGATGGAAAACTCAGTCAGAAGGCAGAAGCTAAGACAAGTAAGAAGATTTGAATTGTTATTGTTTCAAACATCTGAGATTTTTTTAGTCCACTCATAGTTTTTTTGAGTCTGATCCAAGTCTTAGCTCTTCTGCTTGATACTGTTGTTTTGAACCAGTCCCATCTTTGCTGCTTCAGATTATAGTGTGGCAGAAGGGTATCTAATGGGATCTTTCACATTTGGATTCTGGCATCTGAAGGCCTGTCTCTACACAGCAAGTTGTGATGAGCCACTGTCAGAGAAAGCTTAAACAACCTGAGTTAAAAGTGTGGATAGAAAAGTTAGTTAAGAAGACAAATGTGTGGGTTTTACTTCTGTTTGGTTGGTTTTGTCGCTACCACCTACATGCACACAGAGCTGTGTTTGTTACTGGTGTCCTGAGAGAGGAAATCCATTACCTTAAAAGAAGCACTTGGCATTAAGACAGAATAATAAGGAGAGCAACAAAGAACTGTTAGAAATAATTTATTAAGAAGAAGAGATATATAGTCTGTCTCATAAACAAGTGGTATTATTTAATTATCCAAGGATTTGCGTTCCAAATACAAGCCTGAATTGTTCATTGTCCAGCAAAATAACGCCTGCTTCTTCATTCCTGGCTGTTTCTCTAACTACAGCCCAGAGCCTGTAGGTCTTTGCTGCTGTGGTCTGTCCTGCCTAACATTACTAATAACATTTATGTCACTGTTATAATAAAGATATCTTAAGTAGAAAACAGCAATATTAAGGCATAGAAAGGATAACATCAAGACTTTTCAACTGAGGGGACAGGAACAAAGGATCTCTGTCTGTACTAAGTTTCCCTGTAGCTGTAATAGGGCCTCACAGACCCACTTGCACTCGGTCATGTTGGCAGAGAAACACTTGGCAGAAAAATACCCTACTGCTGTCTCAGCTGCCCATTCACCTGCTCAGAGAGACAAAATTATATAGGTCCATCCTACCACTTCTTTAAACACTGGTGTGCTGATGTTCAGGTGTTCACCAGAACAAGGTTTCTTTTTTCCTGTTTTTGCATGGTGTGGTATTTTCCAGAGGAAGAAAGTGGCTCTCTCAGGGTTATGCCAGCTTTCCTATACCATACAAACAAGATTTACAGATGCCGCAGAGGTCTGTGAGCGGAGTAACCAAAGCAGGGTGTGAGGTGTGGGTCAGGGACATGCCTTCTGTATAAACCAGCCTTTTTTTAAAGAAATGGGTGGATTACCCAGGTCAGAGGCATCCTCAGAGGAGGAGGCAATACATACATTGGGTACTGCCATTGCTGCTCCCATACTAAGCCACCGGGGACCACTGCTCTGTTACCGTGGCAACAGTGACGAGCTGGCAGCCAGACCCATCATCACACAGCCTCCCCAAGCCCTTGCGAAATGCTCTGGGAAAGACTTACAGGAGCAGATTTGCATCCGAGATCTAATTTTTTTTTCACTTTGGCTTTACCTTGCAAGTCTAGAGAAAGAGAAAATCGTGTGAGCTCTCCAAAGAGAAACCTGTGTGGAGGCAGGGCACGATGAGTGCTGAGGGGAAGCTGATTTAGATGCTTGCCCTGGCAGAGGTGGGTGAACTATGAGCACTTGTCAGGGAGGAGCTGACTTGTGTGAGAAGAAGGTCACTTGCACAGCCCTGCTCTGTGAGTACTGACTCAACTGGCCTCTTGTACTATCTGCTGAAAATGTTATTTAGTGTTTGTTATTGGCTGTAAAATTCTGCGGTTTCTTGTTTCTAAGGGGAGGAATTTTCTTTTGTGCTAGGTTTTCTGGATAGGCTGCATGCAAAATCCATGCATGAACTACTACTGGGATTTTTTTGTCTAGGCATGGAGTCCTGCAGGAGCTGCAGCCTTACACATTAGCAGCAGGTTTCTTGCAGCAAGCTCAATGAAATCTACAGGGCAGTATCTGCAGTTTGCAGTGAGCGCCATACAATTCATACCTTAATGCATAGATACCAGGGTTTGTACTCCAGCCTGCTGATATGGTACTATCCAAATATCAGGTTTTTCATTGGATTTATTATTCCAGCCTTTGTTATACATTCTATCTTATCTGGGTAGTTGTTGTTGTTGTTGTTGTTTTGGTTGAGATTAAGAATTTAAGCAGTAAAATGCTTTTTGGAACAGGTGCAGAAAGAGTATTTGCCCTGTGTAGGATAGAGTTACAAGGAATTTCATTCCAGGGAGCCAAACAGATGCACCAGATAAACCGCTGATAAAAAGAATAATTATATTGGCAAAGAGCCACCACACTCCACCATTGTACATTGATATCACAGTCAAGCATACAGGCGAATGGTAGCCACGGTTGAGATCAATCTATCACGGCTAACAATAGGCATCTATAAATGCAGTCATGCTACAGAGCAATATGATCATCAGTTTTAAATTCTCATCTGAAAAATATTAGTTAAATCTAGAGATCTGTGAGAAAACTATGCTGCTTTGTAAAATAATGCATTGCAAAGAAAATATGAGGCAAAAGAAGCTGAAGTGATCTCGCACATCATAGATGTGAAATCTTGATCAACCTGCAGCCTGCTCACATGAAAACAAATGAGATTTTTTTTTTTTCTCTGGATGAATTTGGTGCTTGTTTTGTTCCCTGGCCAGACAAGAGCACTGGGGCATCTCTAGCTGTAGTCTTATTAAGACCATTAGGCTGTGATTGTGCTTGTGTTCTCCTGCTGGCATGGATTTAGGCAGACAAATGATCCTTGGAGCATGGATGGCTCACACAGTTGAGAGGGGATGGGCTACGTTCAGTTCTCACGAGGTCTGAAAATCTTACAACCTCGACTTTGGAAAGGCACTGTTTGCAAACCAGCCGGAAAGGCAAATAGGGACAGGTCCACTCAGTCCAGGCACACAAGGGCAATTTATGAACATTGCTTCTGTTTGTGGTAATGCCAGTCACATGTGTAAGTTCTCTGCACAATGACAGCAGAATACACTCCCTTCAGTGTGTAAACAGTATAAAGCTGTGCCTGTGTGAGTGTTGGCATGAGAGGCTGGGCTACAACAGAAGAAAAACAGAAATCAAAATGAATTATTTGTTCATTTTTCCATCCTCAGAAGCAGTTGTATGTTCTGCTTTGTCCAGTCTGTTATAACTAATACAAGCATTGTAGCTTTTTCTTTTTTGGACTGTTTGACCAAACTTGAAAATATTTTTATGACAGAGGATGTTTCCTGAGTCAGATACAACTTCATTTCATTCAATTTTACCCTGATACTCTTCATTACAATTCCTTAGGACACCATAAATACCTGTTCTTCCTTTTTTGTGTTCCTACATCACTCAGATATTAGCAGATATTCCTGTTGCACTGCAGCAGTGGAGTTTAAGTACTTCTGGATGTAACTGGATTTCCAGCCCCCTCTGTGACCCCTGCACATGTGGACCTCTTGCACAGAAAGCCATACCGGTTTATGTCATTCACGCATGAGCCTCGGGAAGCAGTCTTTGCTGAATGAGTGCCAGTGTACCACACAGTTCATAAATATGTAAAAGTAATGGGCCCTATCCCAACAAGCTCAGATTCAGAAACGTTTAGCAGATGTTCTGGCTGTGGGGGAGGAAAACAGGAGATGAATAAATACAATACTGCAATAACAAATACTTTGTTGATGAAACTGCACATAAATTAGAATGACAAACACACCCTTACCAGGACTTTGACCTATCCATAAAACAACATGTTTTATTAATAGTAGTTCCACGTTCTCAGGATCGATAGAGTGTCTTTATTGATTTCTTTTTCAGTTTTTATTAATACTTATCTAAACACTGATGAATTTAGATGGAATGTAGGTAGAGCCTTTTTTTATAGTTTGTGAAGGACAATCCTAATAGTACTGACAATTCTAATAGCACTAGTACTTTATATACTTGGTTAAAGGAATAAAAAGCCTTTGCTTTAAAAACAAGTATACAGAACATAGCACATGGCTCTCTGCTCAACTGAACTTCAATAGCAAACATGCCTTTTAGACCTCAATGCAGGCTACGTGGAGTAAACCAGTCCTGGGGGAGCCCGGCACAGGCAGCTCTTGTGTGGAATTTGCGTAGCCCAAATTAGATGAAGAACCAACAAAGTGTCTCAGTGATGACCTTGCAGGGCTTTTCTTTCTATTACATTTCACCAAGATACGTTTAAATCTGTTTATTTATTCTTTATTCTACATTTTAATCTCTAGTCATTTTCAGGGACTAGCTGAGTACAAGGAATGTTGTATTTCTGATTTTTTAATTTAATATATTAATTGCATAGTATGGCAGCAGTCTAGTAGTGCTTCATCTGGGTATGGTCTTCTTGCTTAGCTGTATTTTGCCCATTGAAAAGTACTTGTCTTACTGCTTTAGATGGTCTTGAACCTCTTTACACCTGTGAGCTGCTGTTGTTCATAAAGAAAGTGTGAAGGCTACTCTTCCAGGCTCTTAGCATACTGTACGGTTTTGGGAAGAAGTTTTCTGCCCTTGTGTAGCCTTCATTTTGGGTTACTTCTGTTGAAAAAGTTACAGCACAGTGAAGTGAAAGTTGCATGTTTCTCATTAGCTTCCTGTATAACCACAGTCCTGAATCATAGCAGCAAACCCAGCTCAATTTTATGTTTTACTGCTTGGAAAAATCTATGAGCGTTGAAAGTATCTGCAGTGTGTATGCACAGCCTCGGAAGCTGTGCTATTCCTAAAATTCTACCAAATGATTAAGTCTGCACTGAACCCTCAGCAGATTTGCATGTAGCCCCAGAGAAACTTTATTAGTTCCTATCTGAAAGCTTATATTCTTAGTCTGAAGGGTTAGAAACATTCTTCTATGTGATCGAAGTTTACTGGAGCTGATTGGCCAGCTTTTTATTTCCCTGTTGAACTGGAGAAATTTTACCTACAGAAGTTTCTACTTCTTAATGAGCCATTAGGTGTTGTGGGTTTGTTTGTTTGTTTCCAAGTGCACTAGTCTTGTACTTGTTTTCTTGTAACAAAACACCACCAGCAATTTATTTGGAACTGGACTCCCACCCCTGCACACACCATCACTCCAGATCAGTGTGTGCCTGTGTGTTCAGGGATGGTGGAAGGGGGTTAAATAGCATCATTTTATAAATACTGTATTTGAATACAGTTATTCAAATGCTTATACAGTGAATAACGACTTGCATCAGGAAAGTGCTGGGTGGCTGATGACTTCTGCCTTGTGTTTCCATTACAAGCTGAACACCTGTGCTATTGATAAGGAAATCAGCTCTTTAGTTTCTCCAGAATTGGACAACTCTTCCTGCTAATAGCTGTGGCTGATGCAGAGGACAGCAAATTTTAAGACCTCTGTAGACAAGTCTTTCAGTTTCTTCTGGAAACATTTCTTCTTTTGGAAGCATTCAGCTGCTGATTTGTATATAGATTACTTTTACATTAAAAAAAATAAAATTGCTCTAGCCATCAAGTAGATGTGAGCATCAGAATATAAGACTACAACTCATTAAGGAGATCCCCAATTAAACTGCCTCCAGCAGGCAGCAATTTAAATGCAGTGCCTTTTAGCAGAAACACTTGCATAAAGGAGATAATAGTTCTGGTTAACCAGAGTGGCACTGTTGTGATTTATATGTTGTGGCCTTGACATGGACTAAAGTGAGAACCACCAAAGGTGTATCAATATTGGGAATCACCAGAGGTCTCACAATTGTAACCTAGGAGGACAGGCAAGAAGAAATGGAGTTTTAAGTCTGGGGAGTGTAATAAGAAGTGAAATGAGCAATCTTCATGAATCTAAAAGGCTGTAGCAGGAGCCAGAGGAACAAATGTTTTCTTTGTCTGTGGTGGCTAGGGTGAGAGGTAGATGTAAATTATGGTAAAAGAGATCATTAGGGAAAAATTTCTGAAGGCAAAAAGACTGAATCATGAGAAAGCAACATCTTGGCTGGGTAGGCCATGGTGTCTGCAGCACTGGAGGGGTCATTGAGGGGTGAAGCAGATGGGACAGAGATGCTTTCACAGGATGGAGCTAGGTGACCTCTCGGTATCCCTTCCAGCCCTGTAATTTGGTGATCACCTCCTCGTTTGAAAAAAAACTTGCTATGTTTTTACTTGCTAATTCCAGATGTGGGAACTCTGCTCCAGGACAGTATGCTTCTAGTGGAATTTGCTGTTATTCGTTTTTAAAGAGATTGCAAATTCCCACAGGAGCAGCAGCCATGCACCTGGCAAGTTCTGAGACATGGAAGGTCGTCAGAAGAGAATACTTTGGCCATCCTTACTTTGGAAATAGCTCTCATATCATAGAGATACAAAAAACTTTCTTGGATTTTCTTCTGTAACTTGCCTGCCTTCCTTCCTGTACTCCTTGTCGAACTGGGAGAAGCACCTGGCCCTTATGAATCTTCAGTAATATCTTTTAGAAATGGAATATATAAAAAACGCCCTTTTTAATACATATTTTTCAAAATAGGACACTGTACCGTACTCTGACCCCATTTGGAGCAGTAGCAGCTCGCTTCCTTTTAAGAGCTGAATCCTGACCCACAATGTTTTTCCTTGAGTTGGTTTTGGACTACTTCCTTGATGGCTGCTCTGCTTACTAGCACCCAGTTTTACAGTGCTTGCAGGCACTCTTTGACAGGGAGTCACCGCTTGGCTG